CATAACGAGGGTAGAATGCATGTTCATTATTCTGAAAGGCTCTCTGTTATTTTATCACCCTCTTTTCTAATATAATAGTTTTCTAGGCTGTCAGTTGTAATATAAACACCTCCTAAAAGCTCTGTTCTGGTTGTGCTTTCTCTGAACTTTCAACAGGACTCAAATTTGCTTCCTGTTGCCTAGCATTTTAGCAAGGGTTGGAGCATGATACAGCTCTCTGCTTGCCTGCTGGGAACCGGGCAGCTGTGCTCAAGGCTTGGTGCTGAACATCAGGAGACAGAAGGCTCAGGGCTCCCCACAACTCAGTAGGGACCAGAGCTGGAGTTAATGCTCTGAAGGTTAGTGCTATAAATAAAGGGTTAAAAGGGCACAGGAGAAGGTGCTAAATTCTTCAGAGAAATGGGTGCTGGGGAGCAGGTGCAGAGCAAAAGCCTCCATGGAGAGCTGTCCTTTCCCCTCAGGTTTCAGGATGAACAGGGTTTTGCTAAGTGGGAGAAACTAGTGAGAAATTCTCAGCAGTAGATGCAGCGTAGTGCAGAGCTGGTGTGGGGGCTGTATGCTTTGGTATAGTGGACAGGGGTTGGGAATGGTGCTCGAGGGGTGGATGCAGGTAAGGAAGGTGGGTTGTGGCTAAATCATTCAGAGGCAACTGAGGGAACATGGATTTTAATTGTTCACAGAGACTGGGCTGCAAGTGTGGAAAAGACAATGAGAAACTCAGGGAGACTGATTTACTTGCCTACAATTAATTCTCACCATTGTAAATACATATTATGTAAGTCATGAATTGACAGAGCTTTATAATAGGCATAACAATTTTCCCAGGTTATACCAGCTGAAAACAACAATAAACTCTTGCCATCTCATACATTTTCTATGGGGAATTCCCCAGGTACTGAGTGGATGGTCCTGGGCCCACCTCTTCCAGGAAGTAGCAGGCAAGGTGAATGTGGGCGAGAGCTACCCTTACCTATAGACTTGACCACAGCTGCTGAATAGTTCATGACTGGGTCTAGCAGGTTGATCACAACTGCCAGCAAGAGGCCTTTGCTCCTCATTGGCTGTTGACCCAAGGCCTCAGTTCCACACTGTGAGGATCTCCCCTTAGGGCTGGTTGTGTGCCCTCAAACACACTGTCTGGCCTCCTTCAGAGAGAGGGATACAGGGGCAAGCAAAATAAAAGCTATAAATTTTTTTAAGGTCCAGTTGGACCTCCAAAGTCACGCTGCATCAGTTTTGTTCTTTTTTTTTTAAATTTTAAAGAGTAAAAGAAGGATAACATACTAATGAGGGGCTTACCGAATTATAGACAAAGTGGTAGGAAATTATCAATGGTTGTTGTTTTACATATTGTTATCTACAAGATAGTTTCTCAGGAAAACAAATAGACAAATAATAGTGAGTTACAGACAAAAGTGGTAGATTACTATGAATGATTGTTGTACTATACTTTGATATCTTCAAAGTGGTTTCTAAAGAAAATAAATAGAGCTATACATGAGTGACCAATTCATTGTTCATTGACTATTCTCAATGGTTGTTGTAGGAAACACATAGTAATAAACATACATCCATTTACAAAATAGCATAGGAACAATACAAACGTTACAGAGTTATGGACAGATTAGCAGGAAAATATCAATGGCTGCTGTAATACATGGTGGTATCTTCAAAGTGGTTTCTCATGACAGAGATATGCAAGAAAGATCTAACAAGTAGTTACAGCCTAATGGTTGTGAAAAATAGCGTATTACCTCCTCACCAGTGACTCCTTTCACTGAGGTGTGATGGCTGGAAGGAAGGCCAGGATTGAAAAGAAGGACCGAGAGACTTGCACCTGTGTCTAACAACAGGCTCTTTCCTTTTTCCTCTGTAATCATGATTACCTGGGGCTCCTCCATGGAGATGATAGTCTGGCCAGAGGGAGAAGGCAGAGTCTGCCCTGGGTGCCCTCATTCCTGTTAGACTAACTGGTACAATGGATCTGAGCTCTGGGGCCTTCTTGAGGTGGCCTAGCTTTTAACAGTGGTAGCAGATGAATGCAGTCATCGATTCTTCTTGGAGCCCAGAGAATCAGACTTAGGGTCTGTTTCTCTTAGTACTGCAACAAAAGCAGCTTCTTTTTCTTGGTCTCTTTGTTTTCTCTCTTTGGTCTCCTCCTCGTCACGGGTATAGAATACTGAGGAGGCAATTCTTGCTAACATCTCAAGAGAGCCTTCTGGGGCAAAAGCCATTTTTTGTAGCTTTTTCTCTCCAGCCTCCCAGTGCATTGGGACCCGGCAACCACTTAGTGTCGTCTCCCCAACCGTGAGCACGGGCAGCAGAAATCTCAGTGTAGACCTCTCCAGAGCTCCAAGCGCTCCTCCACCACAGCCTGTACTGTCAGGGGAAGAATGGCTTCCAGAGGGTCTCCCCAGGTACTGCACAAGGTCCTCCTGATTTCTAGCTTCTGAACGGCTCTCGTGACCCCGGTCAACTTGACCTCTGAGTCTTTGGGCGTAACCTATATTCTCGTGTTCTCTGAGTCTTTGTTCAGCAGCTGCTCCTCCGCGGACTCTGGATCTTTCTAGTTCTCAACACAGGGACAAGAGAGACCCGTTGTGTGGCATGTATTCCCAGGGGTTTCTCCATATCGGGATGATTCATGCACATCCCCGGGCAGGCCTCCTCGGTCAGTGCATGGCAAGCCAATTGTGTCAATGCTTCTCTGTGCCATGATAGTTCTCGACTGCGTGGCAGCGGCTGGCCTGAAGGCCAGTGCGCACCAGCGGGCACCACCACCCGCCTCCCCGGGCGCCTGTGCATCGAGGGACTGCATCAGTTTTGCAGTCCTGTGGGTTACATGAATCAGGCTAAGGAAAAGGACTCTGCCCCAGGGGTCCTCAGGGACACTGTGATCACTCGATATCTTATTCATCACAAGTACATCCATCTACTTTTAAGTGTTTATTATTTCAGTCTGATACAAAGTAGTATTCTCTAAAAAGATGTTTTCCAGTAAACATTTTGTAAGTCAAGCTTTGCATGCCATTTTGAAAAGTTCATGAACACGTTTTGAGGCTGCTAGTTCTCACAGGTAGATAATCAAATAATAAACACTGGCTTGACCAATAGGACATCAGGACGCTCCCATCACACTTGGTAATGAATGAGGCCTTTAAATGAACAATCGATGTCATTTATCTGTTTGACTCATAGAAGTAAATTGCAACCAGCAAGTCAGCTAGAAATCATCCAAGAGAACAGAATATACCATTAGTCAAGGTGCCAGGTAAATGAATGTTATACATTTGGCAGCTTCAGGAGGGAAAACGTCACACTTTCTACCTTATACTTTAGGATTTTTTAAAAACATGAAGGGCTTGTACAAACACTTGTGTGAAGTCCACATGTTGATTCCATGTGCTTTGTAAGCTCTCAGTAACTGGCTCCAGCTGTGAAACATTGGCACATGACAAGGAAGTGACATCTGGAAGGAGGGTCCTGTCTGACCCATGCCACACCAAGATTCACAGCCCAGTGGAGCTGTACATGCTGCCTTGGTGCAAAGTGCCCCACAGATTAGCAGAATCTGGATTTGTCTCTGCTTAAGCTGTTGCCCAGTCTTGCCCATTTGGATTCTCTGAATTTCATGAAGAAGGAGAAATGTCACCCTCGTCTGCCTCATCACCCACTTCCTCTTCAGTCTTTGCAATCTCTTGTGTGTTCCCTGTCTCCTCTCTGCTCAGATTACTGCCTCATGCATGACCTGTCAACCCCTGCAAGAACTTGACACCAGGGGAGGCTGTTGAACTCCCTCCCCCAAACCTCCTGAAACTTCACAGTGGTTTGTGACAGTGTGTCTGTGGATCCCCCTAGGTCTTCTTCTGTGTCCTCATGGTCTTATATCACAAAACGAAAGTAGTGTTTTAGTGTCTTGGTTATGGACCTCAGCCTATCCCCTCTGTGCTGTCTGCCTGTATGCCTCCTTCAACTTCTTAGTCCAGCCATCTTCTCAAGATCAGTATTTACTGCGTCTGTACTTTCAGTTCTATCTGGAGATCCCTGAGTCCATAGCACCTCAGACTCAGTAAGTTTAAACAGAACTCCTCCTTCCCACACCACATCACATTTTATCATTTCCCCGAAGTGCACACTATGCCCAAAGCCTCTAGGTAACCGCTACCTCTCCTCCCCACTTGCTACTCACATTTTGTAACTCCTCAGACCCTGTCACCTCCCCTCTGTCTCTTTCATCCCCTAGGGCCCTCCTCTGTGCTCCACCGTCATGACCAGTCCACACTTCCATCACCTCCTGCCTGAATTCTAGAATATTCTTCCTTTTATGCACTTCTCTTACAGTTTGAGTTCCTAAAAGAAGCCCTAAAAATGTCTTCTCACTAAATTTCTCTTGCCCACTCAGTCCATTCCAGTTCCATTGCCAACACGCAGCCTTTTTCCCTGTTTTAAATTCCCGTGAATGTCTCAGGATCTAAACCAAATACCACTTCCTGCAAGCTTCATGGGCAATGCCTCTTTTCACTAAATAATTGCTTCGTAGTCTCATCTTTTTAAACATCCTGCACTTTTTGCTGTATGTCTCACTTCCTTTGATATTGTCTGGCCTTTCTTTCAAGTAGGTCGTGAGAAGTCACAGCCTTATTTCAGTTGGCTCTTTTCCCCATGCAGTGCTTTCTATGGGGATTTGACTGTAAGATTCAGTCAATGACTCGCACTAACAAGATTTTTAAAACCCAAAAACATGATTAAGATATAATAGAGATCAATATTTGCTAACCAGTGCAAAAATAAGCTTTATGTTTCCATGTTTTTTTATTTTTATAATTTTATATAATTTGACAACCTTTCTTATACCTGTGAACTATGCATCATCTTTTCTAGGCATAGGTTAGATGTGGCTGAGATAGTGATAGAGTGCAGTTGTCCTAAACTAGGCTTTCATGTTAGTCACATCATATTCTGACCCCACACTACAACTTACCTGCCACTTCTCATTGCAGGGAGAATGGAGAAGAAAAGAGAACAAAAACCAACTTCAGGTAAGATTGTGTCTAATTGACTCTAGCTTTGTTTCCTGCTTTCATTTCCACTTTTAATAGAAATGTGGTTACAATTTAGTATTCAGAGTTTCACATAAAAATAATCACTTATGATCCTTGAATTGAACAATATCAAATTAATTTAAAATAAATTAGTACATTTAGCTTTTTACTTTCACATTAATCAGCTGTCCTTTTCATTCTCTTTCTGTTCAAAATAAAAGAGATGGAATGTTTAATTTTTCAATGATTATTAAAGGTAAGTCTTACAACCAGAAAGATTAAAATGTGGACATTATCATAGGGGTCAACTGCTTTACTTTCCCAAATGTCCATGATTTTCAGACAAGGATAACCAATCATCATAGACTAATTTTCCCAAATGTCTATCAATCTCAATTGTTTTTCTTTTTTTTCTTCTGGTACCAGGAATCAAACTCATGACCTTGCACTTGCCAGGCAGGTGCTTTGTGGCTGATCTAAATCCCCAGCTCCCTCAATTGTTTTTCTTAAAAACATCCATCTAATTGATCTTTTTTCATTATACTATTAATTACTTAACTGAGAAGAATCTTTGGGAGGAATGCTCAAAATATTTTCACGTTTCAATACTATAAGAATGACACATTGGCACAATACCATTGCATATAGTAGGGATCAATATTTGCTAACTGATGCAAAAATAAACCTTATATTTCTATGTTTTCATTACACAGCTTTTAACTTAAAGTCATAAGTTTCATTTACCAAGTAAATGTTCTGAAAGGATCAATATTCCAGCTCACAATGCCCAGAAATTGCCAGTGATCATGGAGAATTCTAATCTGGTACACCTATGCCCATCACCCTTCCCAAGTCCATAACAGCTCCCATTCCTCTGATCACTGGAAGCCACCACTGTAAAGGCACAGCACTAGCAGAACTATCTTCTTTGAGTTTTCTTTTATTTTCGAGGGGCGGGGATCCAGTAATAAGGCATTATGTGTGTTTCCAAACAGTCAGTATAGTAGAGAGAAGACAAGGCTACCTTATTCTACAAGTATATAAACAATGTAAATCCCTGTCTCTTTTCTTGTTCCCACCTTCAGCATTCATGCCAGACAAGTGGGAAATTTACTATCCTTCTGAGTTCACTACTAAATCTTGCTATTTGCATTCTCTTTAAAACCCAGTCATGAACACACACACATAAAAAAAAATTGTTAAAGGCAAAAAAAGAAAAAGTCTCTGGTTTCCTCACAACTGTAATTACCTCTATTATTGCTCCATGAGGGAAAATTATTTGGACTGGTTCTAAAATTTGAGTATTATGTTGTTCTATGTACTGGCTTCTTAATTAAAGAAACTCCTTAGTTCAGAAGACAGCTAAGTTGGCCAAAGTGTTAAACCACCTACCTCTTTAAGTCCCTTCATAGTGATGGATTCTGCAGTTCTGTGTGACCAAGGTGACACAGAGACAAATGCAGGCCAAGAGCTCCAACTCTGGCTTCTTCATTCCTTGTCCTCTTAGTACCTATCCTCCACCTGAGCTTATGTTCCAAAATAAAGTGCCACTACTTTAATATTGTTGCATTTCCTGCTTAAGAAAATATTTTTCAACAGTTGGAAAATCTTTGTAAGGGAACAGCATCTTTTACAAGGAACACAGTAGGATTCTGAGGAAACTCCATGTATTTGTGGTGCTAATTTGTCCCATCTGAATCACAGCATGTCAACCTGTCTGATTTCTATGGGAAAACAAAGCAAAGGATTAGCAAAGTGGCTAAGGTCCAACTTACTGAGGAAAACTTAGGGGCTTTTCACCATTTCAAAGTACACACATCACTCCGCAATGTCTACAGTCACAAAACTCTGGTGGACTGAGGCAAAAGGATCCAAATTCAAGGGCCACCTGGACAACTTAGTGAGAGGTTATATTGAAATAAAAGAATAAAAAGAGCTGGACATGTAACTTAGTGCAAAAGCCCTGGGTTTGATTCCCAGTACCACAAAATAAACAAAGTAATAAAACAATCAGAAAACACAACTGTGACAGCAGAAGAGGTTTCAAGATTGGGGCATAGATTTTACCAATATAGTTATAAATTTCATCACAGTGAGTCTATGATGATAATTTGAATATATGTATCTTGAGACAAAGCATATATACCTAAGATGCCAAGAAAAATAACCTGGGCTTTCCTGTTTCTGACTTCCTGTCTGGACATCTGTGTATTATTTGTTGTTTATCGTCTTCAGTTTTCATGTCCTGCCTACTGCATTAGACTTTGTGCCCCAGACCCTCTTGTTTACAGCTGGGTCTGTCTCTCAGCTGAGAAGATCAGTGTTAGGTCCTGGATCCTTTCCATCCACCCCTATCCTATTGAACTAATTATTATAGAAATGAAAGAATTTAGAAAATATATTCTACATAAATATATTTCCATTTAAAATAAGACCCCACCAAGACCCTCATGTTTTGGTTGTTAAGTTTGTTTCATTTTTTTGTATAAAGACTCTTGAACTAACATGAGAGCTAGCCAGATGTAAGTTTTTGCTCAGGATAAGAAATAACTTCCTCACCAGGAAACATCTCCAGGACTGGAAAGAGTGAATGAATGCTAGTAGAGATACACAGAGACTAGGCTTCCTTATCAGGAAGGAAGCCAGGAGATTCATGAAAAATTTGGTTAGATCATTCCTAAGGTACTTTCCAATTTTGTGTCTATGATTTTACTTACTATTATTATTTAACTGAAATTACTATGTGTACTTAGGTCCACACAAGAAATCTTAAATGGCTCATATTTCATTAATGAATGGAATCATGCTACAAAGCTGTGCTAATTTAGTTGGACTGAGTTTCTTATAGGGTATATATAGTTCTCACAGAGCTAAGTGTGTAGAATAAAAATAATCTAGTGTCTTTTTGTAACTTGCATTCAGAGTTTGTCTGCATTCTGATTGTAACCCTGGTTGTAGCTTCATATGTGAGGTATGAATAACTCATGATTAAAATCCAATTCATAGCTCTTTGACACTATATTTGGAAACCCTATTCATACCACATGGCCCAAAAACCTAAATTTGGCTACTTGACATAGCAAAAAAAAAATTTTTAAATATCGCAATGAAATGATAAATGGACAAAATATAAAGTAAAGTACTTTGTGTCATCAACTATCGATCTGTCTCTAATTTTGTATGACCCAATTTCTTCCCAGGAAAAAATGACCATCAATATTTTACATACAAACTCTGTCAACTTGAAGTACTTTTATCAGAAGAAAGACCTTTTTTTGAGGCTATGAACTTCTTTAGTATACTATAAAGCTACATCTTATAAAATACAAAGAAGAATTCTTATAAAGAAGAGTGCTTCATAAATTGTTGTTTAGAAAATGCTGTTAGGTTTACTAAGGTATACTATGGAGACACCATCTGTCATGAAGATGTTGTTCCAATTTTTCCAGCAAGGAGAATCCTTTCAAATTCAGTTAAGTATTAAGTAAAGTATCATCCAGGTGGACCAAAGAATGGAAAAATCAGCAGAGGATAATAAGTATTCTAAAATGCATTGCATAGTTTTAATTCAAGACATTAGAACATCACTAATTTTAAAGATGGTTTGTTTATTTGCATAATTTGAGAACACTAGAGAAGAACAATTTTTTTTCTCAACTGGAAAGGTGAAAATTATTATTGGAAATCTAGCACATGGTAGAACATCTGCTTTGCATGTTAAGTCTCTTGCTTCTTACTTTTACACTGGACTTTTTGCTTGTTAGAAATGTTCTAAAACATCAGTAATACCTCCATTTAAAAAACTTAACACACATTGAACATACAGGCCTTCCAGATTTTAAAAATAAGCGAATAAATACTGAATAAAATCTTCCACTTGAGTGTGAAAAACATGTTTATGTTCTTATATGTTACTGTCTAGTGAGAGCAGATTGTCAAGTAGATGCACATTTAGCATTTTTCTCTATGCCATTCCTGATTTTGTAGTGCTTTTTGCCATAGGTCCTATACACCACCAAAAAAAAAAAAAATATATTAAGAGCTAAATGTGAGAAAGACATGATTTGTTCTAGTGTTTACTATCAGTTACCAGCATAAACATACAAAGTTAGCAGTGCAGATATATTTGAGTGAACTTTCAAGTTTGGAAAGCCCATGTTTTGAACGTTGATATTATGTATGTATTTCGCTCTCAGTTAAAATCAAGTTTGAAAATAGTTGTCATCCTAACTTATTTCTATCCTGTAAAAGCTGTTTTCCAGACACCATCTCATTAAACACTGCAAAGAGTACAGCAAAAGGATCTGATAATTTATACATTCAATTTGTTAAATTTTTCATGTTCCAGACCTTGTGTTTCATTTTGGAGGTATAAGGGCAAATAAGATATGGTATAAAAGTACTCAATTCATTAACTTTCAGCTCAGAGAGGAAAGCAAATATTATTATAGCACAGTGTAAAAAGTACCTTTTGCAGAATTATGCACATGATATCATGAGGACTTCTGAGAGGGCTTCCTGAAAGAGGTGAGGTTTGTGTCCATCTTTGATAGAAGAATTCAAGTAGTTTACCACATACAAAAGGAAAAAAGGACTGGCTATGAAGACAGACATAATCAAGCAAAACCATGCCCTACTGAGGGAAAAGTTAGTGATTTAGTAAGGCAGGAATATAGTTATAAACAGGTAAGAGGCAAGAGATGTGGCTAGAAAAGTAGCCATGAGTCAGAGCCTGAAAGGACCATCTATGTCATGCCATGGAGTGTGGACTTTATCAGTAATAGATACTAGAAGCTCATGAAGTATAAGCAAATATGTTTGCATTTTCTAAAACTCCATTTAGATGTAGGTGTTGGAAGGGGAATTGATTAGAGCCCAGAAAATCAGGTGGCATACCATGTGAATTATCTATGAATACAGGGATGGAGCTCTGAGGTTTCTCCTAAAACAGTGTAATCCACATGGTGAAGTGGCCTGTGTGATCAGATGTGGGAGGT